AATTGATATAAAGATTAATAAAAATATTATTAATAAAAATTAGATTAGGAAATTTGAACTAATCAGGAATTGCTTATGACTTGCTAAAATTAAAAGAAAACTAGGTCAAATTACAATGAAGGAAATATCTAATCTTAATGATGTAAAGCTGGTGAAATAAAATGCATAAGTCAGTAATTCATTTATTTTTAAAATGACAGCAATAGAAAAATAACAATAATAATGAAAGAAATAATTAACAAAGCAAATTTAGGAAAGAATTTAATTTAGCTTTAAGTAGAATTTATTTTCATAAACTATCTATATATTTAATAATGTATAAAATAGTATGAATCTATACAAAATTCCTTCTTTGGATGATAAAATAGGTAAACCAATTAATTGATGCTTCAGGTTCAATTAGAAATTGTTGGTAATGGTTGGCTAATTTTTGGAGTAAGAGTATTCCTAAGGATAATTCGATTGCCATTACATTCTCAAATTATCCTACAGTATTGAAAGGTGAGAAAGTAATTCATCAGGATATTTAAGAACATGGAGGAGGGGGAGCTTAAATTGTTCTCGCCTTTGTTGAATTTGAAAATCAATTAGCAAATATTTCTGTAAATTAAAAATTAACTGCGATATTCATTAGTGACGGAGCGGATAGTATGGTAACGACTTTGGATAGAAAAATGAAACAGAATCTGTCAGGTAATTTGCTAAATCATCGAATCAATTTCATATGATTTGGGGTTGAATAAGGTTTTCCCACTAATCTAACCATGAATTTAAGATAATTATATCATAGAGGAGATCCTCAAATACCTGCTCTATATTTAATTGAATATTCAAGTGAGTTAGCTTTTTTCAACAAGTTTGAAACCATGAAGTTATATTTTCTTCCCGCTAGGTTTTTGTACTGGATTATTCACAAAAATTTATCACTTTACTTTTTTCATTTCTTCGTATATAGAGAATAATCTCCACCAATACTGTTAGTCTATTACAGAAGAGCAAATCCATAAAAAGCATATTTAAAAAGGATAGTAAGTCCTATTAAAGGGTTCTTCTAATGATTATAAAATTGATTAATTCACCATAAAAATCAAATAAGATAATTAAGGGTTAAGTAGATCACATTTATTTATTATTAAAACTAGTCATTTTTTCTCTTAACAGACGCTTCATATTGATTATGCTCGAGGCAAGAAAGTAAAGTTAAAAAACTACAGCTGTATTCTTATTATTACATTTACTTCACCTAAACCAAATCTTTTTTATTTAATTTTCTTATAATATCTTAATAGATATTCAAATCAGCTTGTATTGAGGGTAGGATTATTGTATAATTAAGGATTTCAGTTGAAATTAGATAATTAAGAGTCTTAAATTTCGCTGGTTCTAGGAATTCAATTTACAACTCATAAAACCAAGCGAGAGCTAGGCCTCTCTCACTTTATGATTTATATAAAGAAATATAACCTATTATGCTAAAAAGTTCCAGGACACATTAGGATTTAATATGGAGTAAGAGCACTTATGATCAAAAAGAATAGAATCGGCTTTCTCCCTAAATGAGTTTAAAGATCTGTCATGATCTTACCTTATTAACTTCAAAACAAAAGAAAAATCAACCTATAAAATTTATTTTAAAAACTCACATTTAAAATTCTATTTTTGTATACTTTAATTTGGTCTTATAAAAGGGTGCCTAACTTTTTTTGAACATATTGAGGATTCGGATATGAGTACCCAGTTAGTAAATACAAAGATACTTTTGAACTCTTTTGTTGAACTCGGTTACTATCTCTTTTGTAGAGGCGGATTAGATCATACCTTCAACGCATCGAAAAAGTATGCAGTATGAGAAATTTTAGAATAAGTTCAATAATTATATGGAGCTTCTCTTTAATATTTCATCATTGGATAAATTAGCCTCAGAATCCAAAAGCAGTTTTTCCTTTCAAATAGTAATTTCTTGGAGGCATGGTCTTACTCCAAAATATAAAACCCTGAAATGAGGGTGGTATTGAATTGAATTAAAATGTTATAAGTTTATTTACAAAATTTCCGACTGGTTGTTTTATAATGTTAATGGATTTCCTCAAATAGAAATACTAACATCCCACTTATACTTCTATGCTCAACTCACTCAATACCGTTTGATTCTTTTATATGGTAGTTGCATATGCTTGTCTCTGAAATATTTTGCGTGTGCTATTCAATAGTATCTGTTTTCTTAGATGATGTTCTAAATTTTATAATTGAGAATCTTATTGTTCTCCCTCCTAATGGTTCTATTTTGTAAATATTTGAGCAATTATCCAAAAACTGCTGTCAAAAACACCTGCATGTGGATTAATTAGATGAAATGCATTGCTCTTTTCTCTCCTTGGTTAAAATACCAGCTCATCTAGAGATGTGTTGCTCGACATCATTTTGCCATCTGTATCATAATATAAATGCATTCTATGATTTTGACCTTTGTATTAAAAGCAAGACTAAAGTAAATGTATGCTTTGTAGGAAAGACTAGTCTTGGATCACTCGAAAATATAATGCTTATAATAATAATAATATCTGATGTGGAAGGATTTATCATTATGGACGGCCTCTCTTAATAGCAAGGTCACTACTTGCCCGACAGGAGAGTTCAAATATCTTTGGCTTAGTGTACACCCAAGCGTACATTTGGCAGTTCATTAGCACATCAAAGGACAGCCTGGCTAAGCCTTAATTATTCACAATCTCACTCAGAATGTTTAAAATCATTAGAACCTATTCGCCTTATTCAACCAAATTGCTATTTTGAATTCATCATAGACTGAATCAACCATACCATAACATTCTTTACTCAAGCTGTCCATCCATTAATTACTTTCCGCTTCATTGAACTTACATTATGATATAATCTTCTTCCGAATCTTAAAAAAGGCCTCTTCCCATTCTAATTTTCTCTCGTCTGGGTTAGCGGTTGGGGTTGGGGTTGGGTTTGGGTTTGGGTTTTGGGTTTGGGTTTGGGGTTGGGGTTGGGGTTGGGGTAAAGGTTTGGGGTTTGGGGTTGGGGTTGGGGTTGGGGTTGGGGTT